GACGCCTCGCGTAACCCCACCAGCCCATCCAGAAACGATGCCCAGAGGAATTGCCTCGATCAGGGAAAAGGGCAGCACTCAGAGGACGGGTCCCCCAGTGGAGGCCTCTTGGAGCGTCTTGGGGGCCTCTTGGCGGTCCCGGACGCCTCTCAGAGCGCCTTAGGTGCCTCGGAGAGCTTCTTGGGGCCTCTTGGGGGTCGCTTGGGAGCCTCTTGGAGGCCTCTTGTGCGCCTGTTGAGGCCTCCTGGGGCCTCCTGGGCGCCTCTTGGGGTTTTGGGTAAATTTTGGTATCCTGGGGAGGGGGGAGGGCACTGCTTCAGATGACTCCACGAGCGCCTGGGAGAGCCCAAGATGACCTCCAAGATGGCTCAAGATAACCCAAGGTGCCTCAAGATGGCTCCCACGATGCTTCAAGAGGCCCCAAGACCGCTCCAAGACGGCTCCAATGCCAAAGAGCTCCCCCAGGAGGCCCCGAAGAGGCCCAAATCCTTCCAAAACCTGGTTGTTGGCTTTCTCGCCGAGGCCTCAAGTAAAATCAATGATTTGGGCGTTGTTGCCAAGGTCTCTTGGAGCGTCTTGGGTGCCTCTGGGGGGCCTCTTGGGGCCTCTTGGGGGTCTCTTGGGAGCCTCTTGGGGGAATCCCGAGGGCCTCTTGGGATCCTCTTGGGGCCTCCTGGCCACCACTTGGGGCCCTCTTGGGGCATCCTTGGGAGCCTTGGGAGCGCTCGTGGGGCCATATCGGAGGAGATCGATCAAAGAAGGGGGGGTCCTTACTTAGCGCCGCCCCCCCAAGAGGCCAACATGGGGCCAAAACCATAGTGGAACTAATGAGTTTGGCTTCCTCGCCGAGGCCGTTTTGGACGCCCTGACCGCTCGCGGGGCGCCCCATGGGGGGTAGGGGGAGGGGTCAAAACGCCCGCCCCGCCCGCAAGCCGTCCCGCTCACTCCCGCCCGCCCTCCCAACACATACGCAGCACCCGAGCCTGGCCCGAACCGCAGCGTATTCAGCAGTCGTCTTTGGATGGGCAGCTACTGGGGGCGAAGCCGCCGCCGCCGCCGCCGCCGCCTCCGCCGCATCCCGCCGCCGCCCACCGCCGCCGCCGCGCCGCCGCCGCCGCCGCTGTCCGCCGCCGCCGCCGCCGCCGCCACCCGCGCCGATGCGCCGCCGCCGCCGCCACCGCCGCCGACCGCAGCGGCCGACAGCCGGCTTGCCGACGCAGCCGCTGCCGCACCGCCCCCCCCCCGCCGCCGCCGCGAGCCACCCGCCGCAGGCCGGCCGCAAGCCGCTAGGATCTGCTTCTCGAGATGTCTTGCTGCGCCAAGTGTTCTGTTGACCTTTGTTGACAGGGATGGATGGGGGGCAAGGCCGCAAGTCAGCGAGTCTCGCCTAGCAACCAGGCCATGCCGAGTGTTTGGAGCGCAGAATGCTGCTTTTGTATTGTTTTTCGCAAGGTGGCAAGCCGTCTCGCTCACACCCACCCGCCCTCACAACACATACGTAGCACCCGAGCCTGGCCCGAGCCGCAGCATATTCAGCAGTCGTCTTTGGATGGGCAGCTTTCGGGGGCGAATCCGCCGCCGCTGCCGCCTCCGCCGCCGCCGCCGCCCGCCGCCGCCGCCGCCGCCGCCGGCCGCCCCGTTGCCAAAATCGCCGCCGCCGCAGCCGCTGTGGCCGCACAGCCGCTGCCGCCATATCACACCACGCACCTCGACCGCGCAGCCACCGCCGCCATCGCCGCCGACGCAGCCGCCGCCGCCGCCCCCGCCGCCGCTGCCGGTACTGCAGCCGCCGCCGCAGCCGCCGCCGCAGCCGCCGCCGCCGCCGCCGCCGCCGCCGCCGCCGCCGCCAAGTGTACTCTGTTCGGTTTTTTGACAGGGATGGTGGGGGGAGGTCGCATCGGGTGGGCTGCGCATGCTCCGAATTTTGTTGCCGAGTGTGTGCTGTATGTTTTTTTTACACAGGGATGGTGTGGGGGGGCCCTCATGGTTTTGGGTTGGCTACCAGTCGCCTGGGGGAGGGGGTGTTCATTAAGATGGAACAGTGATAGACCCCTCCCCGAAAGGGAAGAAAGGAGGTGGAAGAGGCAACGCTCTAGACCACCAGCGCCCAGAGGGCTGGTGGGACTGCGTCGCGTGAGCTCAAAGCACGGGGCGCCCACGAGGCGAGGAACGGGCGGCAGCGTGGCGCAACCTCGGCACACGCACCCGAGCGCGGGCCGCCAACGAGGCGCCCTCGAGGCGCTGCGGCGCCCGCCCCCGCGGCGGCCACGGGCGGCAGCGTGGCGCAACCGCGGCATGACCCCCCCAGGCGCAGAACCGCGCCCGCGGGCGGCAGCGGGGCGGCTCCTCGACGCACTCCCCCAGCGCGGGGGGCGCCCACGATGCGCCCACGGGGCGTCACGGGCGCGCGGCGTGGCGAGCAGCCTAGATACCCCACCAACACGCTTGTGGTGTACCAGCCAGCGTGGGTCCTAAAGCGGGTGAGGCATCAGAGGCGGGGTTCGCGCGCGTCCCCCCGCACCATTTCGGCACGTCCCTCGCGCGCTTCGCGGTCCCATCAGGGGCTCCACCGAAGGCCCCAGTGCCGGGGTTCTCACGCGTGCCCCCGCACCATTTCGGCACACCCCTCGCGCGAATCGCGGCCCCATAGGGAGCTCCACTGAAGGCCCGGTAGCGGGGTTCGCATGCGTCCGTCCCATTCGTGTCGGCACACCCCTGACGCGCTTCGTGGCCCCATAGGGAGCTCGGCCTAATCTCCCAGGGGCGACGTTCGCATACGTCCGCCCCCCACATTTCGGCACACTCCTCACACGCTTCATTGCCCCATGTGAAAGCTCCTCCGAAGGCACCAGTGGCAGGGTTCGCATGCGTCCCCCCACGCCATTTCGGCAAATCTTTCGCACGCTTTGTGGCCACATGGGGATCTCCTCCGAAGGCCCCAGCATGGCACCACCGCGCTCATTTCGGCGCACCCTCTCACACGCTTCGTGGCCCCACAGGGAGCTCCACCGAAAGCGGTACCCACAACGCGGTAGTCACAACTGCATAAGTTTGGGCCCCTCGCCAGGATAAGTGATAAACGAGTGCGCGCGCACAGTACTATTTGACGAGGATGAGGGGGGCGACACCGCCTGGGGTGGCATGATACGAGTTCATATTTAGAATGAGCGATGGGGCATAATCCTGTGTAGATCGTTCTGTCCCAGGCAGGGCCGATCATGCCGGGGGGGGGTAGATCCGAATTTCCTTTTTTAGACAGCAGAACACATGTGGTACCCTGGGGGGGGGGAGGAGGAGGAGGAGGAGGAGGAGGAGGAGGAGAGGAGGAGGAGGAGGAGGAGGAGGAAGTGAGGGAGGAGGAGGGAGGAGGAGGTATGAGGAGTAGGAGGAGGAGGAGGAGGGAGGAGGGAGGAGGCTGAGGCGGGGGAGGATGAGAGGGATGAGAGTAGGAGGAGGAGGAGGAGGAGAGGGAGGAGGGGAGTGAGGAGGATGATGAGGAGGAGGAGGAGGAAGGAGGAGAGGAGGGAGGAGGGAGGGGAGGAGTAGGAGGAGGAGGAGGGGAGGGATGGGGAAGGAGGAGGAGTGGGAGGAGGATGAGGAGGGGGAGAGGCGGAGTAGGGGAAGGAGGAGGAGGAGGAGGAGTCGGGCGATGGCAGCACTGGGTTTAGTGGGCTTACGGTTCCGCCTGTAGAGGGACAGGCCCCAACCTGAGTCGGGGTTGGGCTTTCTAAGTCTTTCGAGATACCGAGCGATGCCAGGCCGCGGCCCGCACCAGTAAGGTCGCTTGACGAGGAGGCCCGTGGTATGACTTGGCTTTGTCTGGAAGCGACAGCGGGATGGGCAATTCACGCTGTGTGCGCACGGTGCGCCCACGGGCGGCCACGTATGGCGCGAAGCCTCGGCAGACCCCCCCGGAGCACCGGGGGGCGCTCGGCGAGGCGTCGGCGGGCCTATGCCCCGCGCCCGCGGGGCGCCCAAAAGGCGCCCGCGGGCGGCAGCGTGGCGAGATCTCCGCGGGCCCACCCAAGACGAGGAGGAGGAGGAGCGAGGAGGCGGAGGAGGAGGAGGAAGGAGGAGGAGGAGGAGGAGGAGGAGGAGGAGGAGGGTGGAGGGAGGAGGGAGGAGGGGGCAAGGGCGCCGTGCACGAGACCACAGACCACGACCGAGACTCAGCGCGGAACCGCCGGCGCCGATCGTCAGGGGAAGAGGAGGCGGCATAAGCACAAGCTCTCGGGGGCCCACGCGTTGGTCGGCGGCGAGCGAGCGAGGGGGGCAGTGGGAAGGGGAAGGCATTCTCGGAAGGCGGCGGGGCTTCTCCTCCTCCTCCTCCTCCTCCTCCTCCTCCTCCTCCTTCCTTCTCCTCCTCCGCCTCCTCCTCCGCCGCCTCCTCCTCCTCCGCCTCCTTCCGCGGGGCATGCGTCGCCCAAGATGCGCCCACGGGCGGCACCGCTGCGAAACCTCGGAGGACCCACCCAGCGCACGGGGCGCCCACGAGGCGCCCACGGGCGGCAATACGTGGCCAAAGCTCGGCGGAGCCACCCAGTTCCTCAAGGACAAGAGCCAGGAGGGAAAAAAACACACAGACACAATTAATCGTCGATTCCCCAGAAAATATGCGAAAATATGGGAAGTGGGGGGGAAGACAAAAAACTCAGAAAATATGGGAAAATATGGGGAATCTTTTTATTTGTGTGTATTTATTTGTGTGTCCCGGGGCCCCTTTAAAGAGTAAGAACCTCTGAGTGCAAACACTCTCTGGGGAACCAGTGACATCTCCTCCGTGCAAGTGATGTTTCGGACGAGTACCCGAGAAGCTTTGGCAGCATGCAGGTAATGAACGTTCGGAGGCCCGCGCAGATTCATTGGATCAGCGCTGGGCCCCCCGGCGGCGTCGCCCCCGGCGCGCTCCGCGCGCCGGTGGGGGGGGGTCCAGCGCCGATCCGAGAAATCCGCGCGCACCTTCGGAAGTTTGTGACTGTGCCGTTTTGTTTGCTCTCCAGGCTCGGGATCTGCTGGAGGCTGTGGCCACGGAGCGGCTGGAGAAGATGTCGACCGAGGAGCTGATCAAGCTCGCGAAGAAGCTCCAGGGGGAGGTGTCCGAGATCGACGACGACATGGACCTCTCCGTGGAGGAGGACCCCTGCAAGGCCCGCAGAGAGAGCGCGCGCCGGCTGAAGGCCGCGAGGCTCCGCAGGCTCCGGGCCGAGGCGGAGAGCGGAGAGGAGGAGAAGGAGGAGTTCAAGGAGCTCCTCGAGGAGGAGATGGAAGAGATCGAGGGCGAGGAAGACCCGTGCACCATGCCGGAGGAGGCGTTCGTGAAGGTGGAGGAGGTCCTGGACGAGGAGATCGAGGGCACCGAGGCGGAGAGCCAGGGGGCCCGGGACGAGGAGGAGGCCCAGCGGAGAGCGGGCCGAGGCGCTGTCGAGGTGGAGGCCGCTGGCGATTCCGTCGCCCGCGGTCGCACAGCGGCGAAGGTCAGCACCGAGGATCTCAACCTCACGCACCAGCACACAGCACCGCCGGCCAGCGCGAAGTGCTCCGCGAGCCACGAAGACTGCGGGTCCACGAGGTGCTGCTCCGACCCTGGGCTGCAGTGCTAGCCGGCCGCCTGCGGCAAGCCCCGTGCCAGCCCAGCGCTCTCGGCGGCCTCTGCCCGAGGGGGCACTGGAGGCCGCCACGCGTGACGCCTCGGGGCTCTCGAGGATCCACGGGGGCCTCTTGGGGGCCTCTCTGGGCCTCCCGGGGCCTCCCGGCAGCGTCCCGGGAGCGCCTCGGAGGCCCTCGGGAGCTCCTTGGGCCGTCTGAGGGCGCTCTTGGGCCCCCTCGGCGCTTTCGGAGTCCGTCTTGGGGGGCTCTCTGGGTCGTCCTCGGGCCCTCTTGGTGACCGAGGGCTGCATGAGGGCTCACTTGGGCCATCTTTGAACCCTCTTGGGCCATCTTGAGGCCCTCTTGTGGCCCGCGCGAATTGTCATGAATTGTCGTGAGGCCATCTTGGATGTTTATGGTGCCGTCTTGAGCTGATGGGGGCCCGACAAGGTGAGAATGTGGAAATTCAGAAATCACCGTTAGAAAAATCATTCGTTTTGTCCTCTTCGGGCCCTGCTGGAGGTTCTATTGGAGCTTTTTGGGGGGCCGTCTTGGGAGCCTCTTGGGCAGTCCTGAACCCGTCTTGGGCTGCCTGGATCCATCTTGGGCCTTGGGCGAGCCATCCTTCAGGAGGGGAAGAACACACAGACAAAATTTAACACCAGTTTCCATAAACATATTGGAAAATATTGGAAGTGGGGGGGAAGACGACAACCCAGGAAATATGGGAAAGTATAGAGGGGGTCCTGGGATTATTTGTTTGTCCCTGGGCCCCTTACAATCCTGGGAGTCTCCTGGACGCCCCGGGGAGAGCGCCAGGGAAGGCGTCGAGGCGCCCATGGGGGCCTCGGAGGGGACTGGGGTGGACATGCCCCGGAAGGTGAGGAAGGGGGGCCTTCCAGTTCAGGCGATCGCAAACATGGATCAAAGGGGGCGTGGATTAGCGACTTGTCCCGTTTCCACTGGAAATCGCGGATTTCCGCCGCCGAACGAGGCGGCACCGGCCGCATTCTGGGAAGGGCACCTCCCCCGATCCATGGATTTGGCGACCGCGCGCCAAATCCATGGATCGCTAATCTATGTTTGCGCGCCCCCGATACAGTGGAGGCCCATGTCAAGGAACACCCTGCTTGCCTCCAGGGTACCCTGGGTTTCTCAGGTTTCGATGGCTTTGCTATGGAAAGCGTGACGTCCCCATACCCAAAGTCAATGGACGCCCTGGGGTCTCGGTGGGGGGGCCCCTTACAGTCCACCCGCATCGTCGGGGCTCATTTCGATTCTTCCGACTCGATTCGATTCGATTTCGATCGACTCCGATTCCGATCCGATCTGGCGTGGAATTCCGATCTGGATGCCGATTTCTCCCTGGAGGCCTACTAGCCTGCCGATCTCCGCCGACTGGACTTTCCCCGACTCGGCTGCCGATCTCCGCCGAACCGATCAGTGTCGATCGCCGACCCGATTTGTCGACTCGATTTGGGGCTCTCCTGCCTAGAAAGGAACCTTCCCAAGGGTGCCCTTGCATCCTCGCCTAACCAAGATGAGTAGACAATCTCAAGGCAACGCAGCAGAAGTCTGCGCACTCGTTGTTTTATCAGCGCACGGGCACTCGTTCAGAAGATACCGGTTTCGTGCCAACGGCTGCGGTGAATGGACAAACGAGGAAGCATGCACGAGCGGAGACAGGAGGCAAAAAAGGGGGGACAAAAAGAGAGGGACGACACTCATGCTACACCATGCGACACTCACTCAAAAGGGTGCCGTTGTATCCTCGCCTCCTCGGTCACTCCTTGGCCGCCGCTGCTGGCCGCGCCCCGCCCGCAGAGCGTCGGCACGGCCTTCCAGGGCCAACTTGCCTCCCCATCGCGCGTCCTTGTGACAGGGGTCGACCGTAGAAGACTGCAGAGACGCATCCCCAGAGATCCAACGTATTGAAAAAATCAAGACGGAGGTTTTTCGCAAGTTTCGGCCTCAAGGGGCCCTCGCCGGGCCCCGGGACCGTCAAAAAACGACTTAGGATGAAAAACCGGTCCCGGGGAACGAGTCGAGACCCCCGGGGGCCCCGTATTGAAAAAATCACGACGTCGGATCTCTGGGTCGGCAGCCTCCCACGCCTCAGCGTGCACGGCGGCGGATGAGAAGAACAGGTGGTGGGCGATGTGCCGGGCCACGTGCATCCCCGGCGCGGCCGACCCTGCCGACGTCGACCCCGAGGCCTGGAGCTGCAGGGAGCTCGGCGAGCGCTCCGGGGGCAGGCCGGTCGGGCCGGAGGAGTGCCGCGGCGCCCACGACAACTGCATGGCCTCGAGGTGCTGCAAGGACCCCCGAGTCGGCGGCGCGCTGGAGGGAGGGGGGGGAGGTGAGCAGGAGCGGGCCCTCCCGGCAGGCTCGGAGTGCCCCCGGGGCCCTGTGAGACATCTTCGCGAGGCCTTCCCCGACGACGCCGGCAGCTTCCCGGCGGGCGCGAGGGGAGGGGCTTCTCCGCGAGCGGAGGAGGGCCTCGGGCCCTCCTCCGAGGGGGTTGCCTCCAAGCCTTCCCCGAGGGCACCATGGGAGCGTCTCACAGGAGGCCAGGCGGCTTCGGAGGAGCCCCTCCGCCCGTTGCGGAGGCTCCCTCCTCCTCCGCGCTCTCCCGCCGCCCTCCCCCGCGGGCGGGCGCGCCGCCGACCGAGGCAGGAGGGAGGAAGACGGCGAAGGAACGAGAGTGGCTAGCCGTGACTGCTCCCATCGCTGCCGTCCACCCTCCTCCTCCTCCTTCTCCTCCCCCTCCTCCTCCCCCTCCCCCTCCTCCTCCTCCTCCTCCTCCTCCTCCTCCCCCTCCTCCTCGAAGGGCACCCCCGAAGGCTCAACCCACCCCGGGCTCTCGTGATTCGCTCGGGGGGCGGGCTTCCTGGAGCGGCGCCCGCGGCGCCGGAGCCTCCTCGCGGCGCGCGCCAGGGGGGAGGGGGGGGGTCCGGCGCGGAGCCGCGAGGGCCGCACGGAGCTCCGCGAAAGCTTATGCTTGTGGAAGTCGATTAATGTTATGTCGGGCGTGTTCCCCATACAGGGCGGCGATCTTCGACGAAAAATAGAAGATACCCAGAAATACCCCCAAAAGGTCAAAAAAAATGCAAAACATGTTCCCCAGAGTATGTTTGGACTATTTTGGGGGTAGCTTATTTTTCGTCGAAGATCCCCCTGTAGGGGGACAGGCCCGACTTAAGATTGATGGGGAGGAAGCATGCTGCCAACTAATCTCCAGATGTCTAACACATGTTTCAAACATGTCTGAAATCTGTAAAGCCGTGCTTGAAACATGTTTTGAGCATGTTTTACACATCTTAGGCATTATTTTTTATTCAATGATAGGATTGTTAGAGTGCCCATTGTCATGGCATCCACAAGCTTGCGCGGGGGAGCGAACCAGTCACGTAAACATACAGTTGGCCCGGATTAGTAGGTCGACCCTGCCAAATCGAGGGTACCCTTGAATACAGTCGGGCCGCTGAAGAAGGAACCCTTTTCGTTTGGGAGGGGCTCTATGTTCCTTAGTTGTTTTAGAGTGTTCCTTGGGTTTTCCTGAGGTCTTCCACGGAAAATCGGAGTTTACCTTATGGGAAGAAGGGGCCTCGTTCCTTATCGTTCCTTAGGTCAACGCCCCGACTGTACCCTTTGCCCTGTGCCTCGCAAAAGGGTCTTGTGTCCTCTCGCGTGTCCTGACCAATCAAGGCCGACGGTGATCTTGCGGAGGTCAGCGCGGACTTCTTGGATCAGGGCGCCGGACCGCCTCCCCTGACTCCAGATCCGCCCTACTTTGGCTTTTTTTCCAACTTAAAATTGCGTCGGAAATCCACCTATAAGAAGCCGAAAAAGTAGGGCGGAAGTTTCTGCACCCAGCATAGAACAGGGCGAAAATCCACAGAAGTAGGGCGGAAACAACAACAGAAAAGCAGGGCGGAAATTGGCATCAGCGGGGCTTGAAAAGTAAGGCGGAAATTCCAAGCCCTACTTACGAAGTTCCCCAAAGTAGGGCGGATCCTGAGTCAGGGTCCCCTGGCGCGCGGAGCGCGCCGGTGGCGGCGCGTGAGGCTCCGCCGGGGGGTCCGGCGCCGATCCGGGAAGTCCGCGCGGATCTCCGGCAGTGTTATGCTCATGTCCGCGTTTGTTCCCCAGTCGTGCTCCCCAGAGAGCCAACGCATTGAAAAAATCAAGTCGGAGGTTTTTCTCGATTTCCGGCCTCAAGGGGCCCTCGCTGGGCCCCAGGGCCGTCAAAAAACGACTCAGGATGAAAACAGGTCCTGGGGAATGGGTCGAGACTTCTGGGGACCCCGTATGCAAAAAATCACGACGTCGGATCTCTGGGTCGTGCAGATGCTTGTCCCTCGAGGACCCCGGCTTTGCCTGCTTCACCAAGAACGACACATTCGCGAGGTGCATGCCGGAGTGCGCCCCCGGGCCCCAGTACTTCGACCTGGACAACGGCGACCCGTGGAGTTGCCACCAGGTCGGGGCCGCGGCGCTGTCTACCGTCGGCAACTGGACGGAGACGAACTGCTCTGGCGACGCGGACGACTGCCGCGAGAGCAGGTGCTGCGCCACCAGCGGCCTCCAGTGCTACGAGGTCCACCGGGCGCTCTCCACGGCTCGCAAAGTGCCTACTCGCAAGCGTCTGGAAAAATCATGCTCGTCTCCATGTAATGGGTCGTGAATCCCCCTCGGCGGAGCCAGGCCTCTTGCGAGCAGTTGCTCTCTGCGAGTAGTGGAACGCGCTCGTCCAGAGGTGGGCGGCAAGTCGGCCCGGTGCTTTGCGAGCTGCCCTCAGGAGGGCGGCAGCCCGTGCACGGAGCTGGGCTACCGGACCCCGCCGCCCCCCACGGAGCTACCCAGCGGGCCCCTCGGCGGGAGGGTCGGTCGGTGGGTCAAGGACTCGTGCTCCAAGGACTCGAGGACGAAGGAAATGAGCACCAACTTTCAGGGCTTCGCGCGGATTTCTCGGGTCTGCGCAGGGCCCTCGCAGAAGAAGGAGAAGAAGAAGAAGACGGCGAAATGATGGAAACAAAAACTTCCCGGGCTGTGATCGTTGTCTTATGTATTATTTTGCCGATCGGCGCGGGCCCTCGCACCCCCTCCCCGCTCCTATGGAGTAGATCTTGGATGTTTTGCGCGCCTGTTTCGAGCAGGTGGAGTCTCCCCCACAGGACGCATTGTTGCAAACAGTCGCATCAAGCAGAGGTCAGGAGCCAGACCCCCTCCCTCCCCCCTCTCCCGCTCAATGTCGAAACGCCGAGGCAGAAAACGCTCACGTTCCGCACGGATTTCTTGAATCTGCGCTGGGGACCATCTGGCAGCGCCTCTGGCGCCACCCCTGGCGCGCTCCGCGCAGACCTCGGAAATCCACGCGGACCTCCGAAAGCAAGGGCTCCCTCGAGGGCGCGAAGTTATTCGCGCTTCGCGCTTCGCGGTCCTCGTTCCTTCTCCCACTCCTCCTCGTCCTCCTATTCTCCCTTTGGGAGGGCGGCGCGAGAGCGCGAAGTTATTCGCGCTTCGCGCTTCGCGCAGCGCGAAGCGCGAAGTTGGGAGCCATAGGAAAGTGTTTGGTTCATTCTGCCTTTGCTTTTCCAGGAACTGGAACATATGCATTACCAGTGACGGGCTGTTTTCCAATCCCAGCACTTTTCGAGGGTCGGGGACGACGTCGGGGTGGTGTGTATACTTATTTCGTTGTTTTCCTTTGCAAGCAACGCAAATTGTATGGACCAGGATCCCATATACATCAGGATCCGCTTTCCTGTGCGAGTTTCAGTGCAGGGGCAGAAAATGCGTCGGTGTATAGAGTTCGGTTCTCTACTAAGGACGGCGAAGACTGCAGCGGCACCTCGTGCTGTGTCAGCGGGGGGATGCAGTGCTACGAGAAGGACAGCGCTCACGCGACCTGTGCGGACGAGTGCCATGCGAACAGCACCTGGAGTTGCAAGAAACTTGGCACCCGAAGCTGGGGTCTTGCAGTCGTAGGCTATCCTTCGCTATTCTGCGTCACATTCCTCAGGGTGGACTCCTACGAGCCTGCCTTGGTGGAGTATCAGTGGAAGAAGAGCGCTGGCATTTTTTCGTGCGACAACTTCAGCATCTTCGCCGACCGCGTGACCACCATCGCTGGCAGGGAGACCCTCGAGACTCCCAGCATGGAGGTCGAGGTGACCCGGGACGGCACCGCGGGGAACGCGGGGATCTTCATGCGGGCGTGGGAGATGCTCTTCACGGAGGGCTCCCTCTGGGACCACGACTGGACAGTGAAGGCCACGGGGCGCGCAAACGACCACGGCCACTGCTTTCCTTTTGTTGCCGCCTTCCAGCCCGCAGAAACAAAGCAGTGGTTGTGGTCATTTTCGTTGAGCTCGGCGCCAGGGAAATGACCACAACCGCTGCTTCTTTTTCGGCCGGCTGGAAGGCGGCGCACACAAGAAGCAGTGGCTGTGGTCACTTTCCCGTCCCGCAGAGGCAGACCCCGACGCCGTCCTCCTGCCCGACCGGCTGCGGCGGAGGCTGGAGCCGCTCACCGATCACCCGGGCGCTGCCGGAGGCGCCCGCGAGGCCCCGGGCGCCCCCTTACGGCCACCGGGGGGGAGGCCCCCTTAACTACGGCCTCGGGTCGGGCGGCGGGCGCGGGGGAGGAGCGGCACGGGCCTCGGAAGAAAAGACAGCGAGCACTCATGCCACATCCATCTGTGAACGCCTTCCCCTCCCCCCAATGTTTCGGGGGTGGACAGACCTCCTACCCTGACACGTCGATTGAGGAATTGGCCGTTTTCGGTTCGCGAGAGGGCGTCGCGGCCGTCATTTTTGCGGGTCCAGGTCTGTCGGTTTCGGTCCCAGGCCGTTTTTACTAAGGGGAGGTTTACTAAAGGGAGGTTTGTCCAACGCCGAAAATGTTCAAAGTTGGCGGTGGGTCTGATGAGTTGCACGTCGACCGCAGTCTCCCCCGCGCGTGCCAGCTTCGAGTTTGGAGGGCAGAGGGGGGGTCACTAATTGTTTCCCCCTACCTCAAGGAGAAGGCCTGCTCAGAATCAGGCGATCGCAAGCATGGATCAAGGGGGCGTGGATTCGCGACGGTTCCCGCTTCCATGGGAAATCGCGGATTCCCGCCGCCGACCAGGGCGGCACCGGCCGCATCTTGGGGAGGGCACCTCCCCCGATCCATGGATTTGGCGACCGCGCGCCAGATCCATGGATCGCTAACCCATGTTTGCGTGCCCCCGAGGGGAGAAGTGATAAGGAGAAGGCCTTCGCAGAAGGCGGCGGGGCTTCTCAGAAGCCCTCCGGCCTTCCGAGAGGTTTTCTGCGTCTTCGGGGAAATGCTCACGAGAACTTCGGGAAACGAAGGGGAGAAGGCCTTCGCAGAGGGCGGCGGGGCCTCTCAGAAGCCCTCCCGGCCTTCCGAGAGGTCTTCTGCGTCCTCGGGGAAGGCTTGGGACAGCCTCTCAGGAGGCCGGGGCGAACTGCCGAGCCTTCTGAGAAAAGGCCCGCCCCTCCGCACGTCCCCCCCCGTGCCCGCCGCCGAGCCAGAGCACCTCTGAATCACGAGGCTCGAGGGGCTCTCATCGGGCAGGCCTGCGCACTGGACACGTCGCCTCGAAGCGTTCTGGAACCCTCCGAGTCCGAGGTGGGCATTTTATACATGACCACCGCCTGGAGGGTCAGTTTTCGGGGACCTCGGCAGGCGGTGGATATGGATGGATTTGGGCCCCCGGGGGCTAGGATGTATCCATAGCCGCCGCCCGCTGGGGCACCAGGACGACAGTTCCCAGGCGGTGGATATGGACAAATCTCCGCCTCGCATTGGAGGGCGCTCCCGCGTGCTCTGGAACGGCCGCGGCGCCCGATGCCCGACGGGACTCATCCCTCAGAGCCGCTGGGCCCCAGAGGCTCTCGACCCAGAGATGCGATGCCTGGATCTTGTCAGTGCACGGTCCCCCGAAGTCCCGCCCCTTGCCCCAGGGCCGGCTTCTTATCCCGAGCAGTTTTTCGACGGTGCCGGGGCCCGGCGAGGGTCCCCAGAGGCCCAGGAGGCAAACCTTAGTCCCGTCGTGGTTTCTCCGCGACGCGAGCATGTTACTGTTCGGGGATCTGTGTAGATTTGATTGCGTCCCCGGAGGCGAAAAAAGGGTCAAAAACCTGTGGTCGTGGCTCTTCCACGACGCGGGAATGGCCTGGGACTTATTGCAGATGTGACTGCGTCTCGTTCCTGGCTTCGTCTTGCCACCTCTGGCAGCACCCAGCATAACCACGGGGGCCACGGCGGCCTGTTCGTTGTGAACTGCAACGCTTGGCCCGACACGGCCGTGTACCCCATGATGTACGGCTCGGTTGAGGTCTTTTCTCGGGCGGCCATGCGGCAGTACATGAAGCACAGCGAGCAGTGTAGGAACCGGGTCCCGCGAAGAAGAAGAAACCTAGCACAAACACATATCACACACTTTGGAAATCTGCGCGGATCTCTTGGATCGGCGCCAGCTCTCGTGCTGGCGCCTCCGGCGCCGCCCCCTGCGTGCTCCGCGCGCCAGGGAAGGGGGCAGACCCAAGAAATCCGTGCGGACCTCCGAGTTCTTATGTTTATGCCATTCTTCGTTCCCCTACACAAATCGCTGCAACAAAACCGTTGCTTCTTTCGGCCTCCCACCACCTCCTTCTCCCCCTCCTCCTCCTCCTCCTCCTCCTCCTCCTCCTCCTCCCCCGCCTCCTCCTCCTCCTCCTCATCCTCCTCCTCCTCCCCCTCCTCCTCCCCTCCTCCTCCTCCTCCTCCTCCTCCTCCTCCTCCTCCTCGTCCCCCTCCTCCTCCTCCTCCTCCTCCTCCTCCTCCTCCTCCCCCCTCGCCCTCTCCCCCTCCTCCTCCCCCTCCCCCTCCCCCTCCTCGATCTTCCTCGAAGGCTTCTGTTTGCGTGCGCACTTTGCTGCCCCTCGAGCCACACAGTTCGCTTCGGCCCCCCCCCACGAGTGGTGCGGGGACCACGCCGCGCGGCGTGTCGGCGGGGACCCGGGGTGACCACGGTGGCCGCCGCACGGTTTCGGGACTTGGGCCGTCCTCCCCAGAGATCCAACGCATTGAAAAAATCAAGACGGAGGTTTTTCGCAATTTTCGGCCTCAAGGGGCCCTCGCCGGGCCCCGGGACCGTCGAAAAACGATTCAGGATGAAAAACCGGTCCTGGAGGATGGGTCGAGACCTCCGGGGACCCCGTATTGAAAAAATCACGACGTCGGATCTCTGGGTCCGAGGATGCCTCGGGCGATTGGGGTTCAACCGGGCATGTCAAGTCGGGCATGTCCTTCCACAGGAGGAATGTCCAAGAGCAGTCGGGCAGCAGTCTGGGGACGATGTGTTGTAGTTCTTTGTTGTTTCTGCTCGAGCATGTTCTGACTATTTTGGATGTCTCTCCCAAGATTAGCCTGTAGGAGGACACGCCCGACCTAAGATTGGGGCCTCCAAGGTCGCAAGACCGTGCGGCGACGGACTACGTGGTGAGTTTTTTTGAGGATTTCGAGGGCACCACACGGTCTGGTCGCCGCACCTTTTTACAGGTGCCCCTGATAAAAGAGAGAGGGGTACACTGGAGGCCCATGCCAAGAAACATCCTGCTAGCCCCCAGGGAATCGTGACGTTCCCACCAAAAATCGGTGGACGTCCTGGGGTCTCAGGGTTGGGCTTCTTGTGGAAGGTTTCTTGTGGTCGGGCCCCTACTGTACTGGAGGTTTGGAACTTGGCACCGACACCAGCACAGTGGGGCGCTTCAGCCGTGGAAAGATGTTCGCACATTCTGGTGCTGGTGGTAAGATGTTGGCCGCCGGAGAAGCCCGAGCATCGCCACCACCACCGAGATCGGGATCAGCTTCCTTCGGCGGAGGCAACCGCGGACCATTATTTTTGGCTCGAGCCCTTTTGGTCCAGTGTGCCCGCGGCTAGCTTGGCTTGGGTATAATTCGCTTGTCCCCGAGTGTGCCCGCGGTGCAGCTGCACGCAGCCCCCTCGGCCGCCCCGCTAGGAGGACAGGACAGGGTGCGGGACAGTCACGGCGTTGTGGAGGCCGCCCAGCCGCCTCTTGAGCCTGAGTCAGCGGAGGCTTGCGACGCTTTCCTCGCTCGAGTTCGAGCGCTGCCTCCAGCCACCACGATGTACATCCCAGTGTGCGTACGCGCGCGGCAAGCCGTGGCGTTTGCTGGGCTCTTGGAGGAGATGGCGAACGGGGATGCGCAGGCGTGCGATCTGGAGCAAGCCTGGAGCAAGCTGCTACAGGGCCCGCCGCCGCGGGGTCACAGCTCGACGAGATGTAAGAGTGACCGTTCGCCAGAGTGACCTTTGGCGCGGGCCCAATGGAGTCCCCCGATCGCCGAGCGCGATGCGATAGTAGCGGCTCGCGCGCCTGTGTTTGGTCCCCCCGCGGCCCCCCAAACACCGCGCGCCACAGGTGACTCTTACCCAGGGCTATGAGGCTCCAACCTACTTTAGCCTTGATCACCAGGAAGAATTTCGAGCGCCCAAAAAAGTACCGAAACTTCAGGGTTTTCACGTGCCGGGCCCTGGGAGACTCGCCCGACACTGTTTCGACACTCTTTTGGCACTTTTCTGGGTGCTCGAAATTATTGAATCGCGTCGCTCATTCCGCCGGCCCTGGAGCGCTATTTGGGGCCTAATGGGGGCCGTCTTGGGGGCTTCTCGGGGGCTCCCCGGGAGCGTCTTGGGGCTCCTTGGCAGCGCATTGGGTTCCCCTGGGGCTTCTTGGGGGGTTTTGGGGAGCCCTTGGGGCGGGGGGGGGGGGGGCATCGATTGCAGCGCCCCCCCCCCCCATCGGAGGCCACGATCCTCGTGAAGTGTGGCGAAAAATAGCCTCCCCCCCGGGGATCGCCCGGGGATCGGCCGGGGAACTTTTCGTCTGGGGCCCCCCAGGGGCCGCCCCGCGCGCGCGAACTAGAAATATTGTTAAGTAATTACCGGAGATCTTTGCACGCCTCTGGCCCGTTGGGCCGGCGAATTTCTGGGATGCGGTCCTTAAGTAGGACGGGGACAGCATGGGCCCAGGGCCGCTCTTGCGCGTAGCCGATCAGCTTGAAGGTCGAGCTCTCCAGACGCGTCGCCCTTGTGGAGTGCCGGATCAAACGAGGAGCTGCTCGCAGGGGCCGAGGAGCTGGCTCGAGCCTGGGCTGCGGCTGCTGCGCGACGCCCCCGGGGAGTGAACCAAGCAGCGGCTCGAGCGTTGCGGGGGCGGCATGCGGTCCGCCAAGGAGCTGGCTCTAACGAAGGGGCCCTGGGGCACCCAAATACATGCACACAAATAACAGGATTCCTCATATGTTCCAGTATTTTCCGGGTTTTTGTCTCCCCCCCCCCACTGCCCAGATTTTCGCATTTTTTCCTGTGAGTCGACGATTAATTGCGTCTGTGCGTTTCTTTCCCTCCTGGTCTGAGGCCGCGAACTCCTTCCACGCCGAGGTGGCCGCGTTCGAACCAGCGGAGAAAGTTTCCTAGCGCCGCGAGCTCCTCTCCTCCAAGCACGAGCCTGCTTCGCCCCGCGGCGCGCCGGGCGGCGTCGCCCCGCAGCCGGCCCCCGAGCTTGAGCGGCCGCTTCCCCGGGCAAGGGGCGCCCGCTGGCGTTCAGAGGTTTGCTCGCAAGCTCGCGCCGATGATTGTCATTGGGCCGTCCAGGGGCCCGAGACCTTCATTTCTGACTGGCGCCCCTGACGCGCCCATAAGCGACGCGTTCGAAGGGGGGCTAGAGTTGGCACTGCGGCATGCGAGGTGGGAGTTGGTATTCTTCAGATGGAACCTTCAGTAAATACCTTTCGTGAGGTATGTTGTATATATATATATATATATATAGGGGAAAACCCTGTGACGGCTACACCACTCACCATCGCCATCAGGAGCTAGACGTGAAGATGGCAACGCTCATCGATTCGCTGGGGCTGGCCAGCGTAGTTTCTTGCTTGGCTGCTCCACTGCGAACTTGTTCAAGGTGAAATACGGTGAAACCGAGTTCGCGGACTTGTTCACTTGTGAGTCGGTTCGCGGAGTGCACCCCAGTCTGCTTCGTGCTTGTTGGATGTTCTTGTGCATCCTGGAGAGGGCGCCCATGGCTGTTCTGGTTGTTTTGGCCGACGGAGGGCCCCGTGTCCTTGAGGGGTGTTCTGCTGGCCCAGGTCCGCCTGCACCCCAGATCGGCTCTCTTCCTGGCGCGCGCTTCAAGGCGACGCCCCGCCCCACGGGCCCCCCGGCGCCCTCCCAGAGCACCCCCCGGATTTAGCTGCTCTGGTGCGCGCGTTTTGAAACGCAACGCGTGCCGCGTTCAAAACGCACGTGTTCAGTCTACGTGTTGGGCTCCGCATCAACGCGCTACGCGTTGCGCGTTGCGTATCGGGGCAGCTAAGCTCCCGGGATACCCTCTGCTCGCGGGGGCCGCCAGGTTGCTTCCAGGCTGCCGCGAGCCACGTTCAGTCGGACATGTCCCTCCGCAGAAGGAGTGCTCGAGCATAGTCGAAAAATGCAGTCTGGAGGCGATTTTGTCGATCGTTCTTGTTCATGTTTGAATCGTTTTGACTATTCTTCGCTT